TTCAGTTAGAAGTGTTTGTTTATTCAACAAGTCACAATGAGCCTCATCATGAAACTCAGTTAAACATCATCAAAGAAAAAAAACCCTCCAGATTTTGCCTCATAATCATTTGTTTTTGTTTTTCAGCATCAACATAGTTGTCTGTACATCCATGGTTACAGTGCAAACAGACATTGAGAAAAGTGAAAAAGTATACAAAAAACTCAACATACACAAAAATAATACCCAACAAAGATGAATTAACAGTAGATTTCCAAGATTGATTAATGTGTGTTGTTGCAAGCCTTTCCGGTCTTTTCCTATTAGTACAACACTGTAAAGTCTCTTGATTTCTTGTGTACTAACTGCAGAAACAGTCGGTATATCATGAAGATTAATAGCACATACTGTTTACAGTTTAAATTTGGGACAGAACAACACATAATATTCCCAAAATGAAAAAAGACAATAATTGAAAAATATATCCTATACAGATGTTTCCGTTGTACAGATATTCCAGTGTGTGAAACCTGGAGGGGGGGGCACAAAAATGTTTGTGTAGAATAACTGAGATGCCAAATTATAGCATTTGTAAGTATTCTTACTCAACCTGAAATGATACATTACATGCAGCTAAAAGCCTGTGAAAGAAGGGACTGTGTGCTGTTCCACAGTTACAGAGACCTTCATTGGTAATATCTTCAGTGGGAGTTTACTCCCGTTGGCAATGTATGGAAACAGTCTCTCAGTGAATCTCTGTGTGAAGGTGTATATGTGTGTGTTCGTATCAAGATCAAAGAATGACAGTTTTCCTTTGTCAAAGTCCAGATGAACTCGGATCCTCCGGAGCTCCTTCTTCACTGACAGAACTTCATTTGGGAGCGGTGGGGAGAATGCTATGTACTCTCCATTAAGGAGACATATTTCCCAGTATCCAGTCTGTATTTCTCCCTTTCTCCGGACAGACTCATTTGTCACACCTATGCCCCAGGAATGATCATTTATAATGTCAAAGTCCCAGCTGTGAGTCCCAGAGTTAAAACCCTCAGAGCCCAGAACAGACAGGCTGAAATCAAACCTCTCTGGGTTTTCAGGAAGCTTCTGTTTCTCTCCCTCTCTCAAACTGGTCAGATCTTCATTTAAGATGCATTCTGGACGAGCAGTGTTTGGATCCAGAATCATAGAAGTGTATGAGACCATCCCCTTCATCTTGCTCCAGATGTTGTAGTTCAGGTTGCCCAGGTGTTTGGCCTCGTCTATCAGAGCTCCTGAGAGCAGCTGTGGATCCTCCAGCAAGAGGCGCTGCTGGACTCTTTCCACTGCAGCCTTGTAGTTCTGCAGGAATGAGACGTCTTCAGCTCTCAGCTCGTCCTCTGTGGCTCTGACTGTGTCTGAAAGAACTGCTATCTCTCTGATCAGAGCCTCCATCTTCTCCTTCATCATCTGACTCTTCTGCTCCTCTTCCTCCCTCAGAGCAGAGATCCTGGCCTCCTCTTCCTCTTCTAGAAACCGGTGAAGCTTCTTAAACTGCTCCTGAATCTGCCCCTCTGTGTGTCGGGCCTGGACCTTAATGTGTTCTGCTGTTTGATCACAGTTTCCTTTAACTTGTTCAAACAGCTTCAGTTTCTCCTTTAAGAGCTTCAAGGATTTCTGGATCTCCTCTTTGAGATTGTGTGCAGCTTCATCGATGGGTCTGAATGTGAGACTCTCTGAAGCTCTCTGATCTCTCTCCCGTATGAAGGACTCACACACGTTCTTTAAATCCAGGTTACGAGGAGGATCACTCTTTGATGATCTTCTCTTACAAAGTGGACACTCGTGTATTCGTTTCTCTCTCCACCAGTTCTTCACACAGTCTTTACAGAAGCTGTGGCTACACGACAGAACAACAGGATCTTTAAAGATGTCATAGCAAACAGGACAGGAGTGATCCTTTTCTGTTTGAGAAAACATTGCCTGCTGTGTTTTCAGCTTCACTCAGAGACACGACAGGGACGTTGGTGAGTCAAGAAAATAGAAAGTTTTACTTTCACTATGAGTTGTTCCTCCTTATAAAGTCGAGTTTATAATAGGAAATCAGCAGCAGATTGAAGCGCCAGTATTCCAGTGTTAAATCCCAGTGTTTCCAGTATTTCCTCCATTGTGTGACTTCTCTGTTAAGTTTAATGTGTTGGTTAAAACACAGTAGACACAAAGTGCAGCAGTGTCATAGGATGCGTATCATTTAATGCCTTCAACTGTGGAATGAGGAACACAGATATACAGCCATGAGGTGTACGCGACCACGCCTTCTGTGAATTCCTGTCACATAAATATGGGGTGGAGAGAACAGGTATGTAGTGAACTATTCAGCTTCTACAATGTGACAATGTCGTAACACCGCCTGCATGGGAGACAGGGCACATTTATCCTAACCGGTCTGACTGAACCTCAACCTGCCAACCACCTGACTCCTCCCTCCCCAAACAAACAACAAGGAACACAGGTGCCCTCGCGGTCATTTAGCAGGTATGTGTGTGTGTGTGTGTGTGTCACAACAAACATTCTTTATAGAGTTGTCGTTTAATATGTAGTGGTGCACAGAATGATGTCACACAGGCTCAATCTGGTGCAACACATTTAATTAGCGTGTTCCCCAAAATACAAAAATATGACTTTCGGTATACAATCGCTTCACAGCGTTTTAGACAACAGAGATTCTCATTATCTCGCTTAATCACCATTAACGGTTTCAAAATACCACAAATGCACAAAATTAACAATTACAACTCCTCGTAAACTCCTTTGAGGGAAATATGGTAACATGAGTGACGCGGGCTCCCTCACATGAGGGCTCATTATCAAGGCTGCCGCTCCGCGGTCATGCTACTGCAATGGCGGCCGGGAATCTTGCATTAGCTAACGAGCTAAACTTAGTCACAAATAAAAGCTTACAAAACCTAACGCAGTGCCACCAACGTACAGTATGACGTTGTACTTGTGCGGGATACCCAAATAACATCACCAGCTTACTTTCAAAATACAAAAATATGACTTAAGCACTTTGTGCTTATGTCTGTAAAAAGCGCTCTATAAATGAATCTTACTTACTTACTTACTTTACTTTACATGAGAGTGGATGCCAAAGCTAATCCATCCAAGTGTAACTTGTTTCCCACACAAGTGGATGACCTCGGGCATGTCATCCTTGCTAAGGGGAGGATGGCAGATCCTGTTAAGAAGGAGGTATTGATTGCAGTTAGATTGCAGTTACATGAGTGAGGTGTGTTACACTCCCAGCATGCACTGAGACAATAGATTCATGGACAAAAGTCTAATTTTATGTTTCCCACAATATTTCCACTCTTTCATCGCTACTAAACATGCGATATTACCAGTTAATGTGGTTAATCAGTGCATTCAGAATGATGCCACAAGAGAAGGATATCTTGCCAAAAGAAAGCAGAGGTAATACAAATTGATAAACACTATAATCGATCTTAACTTATTTATTCATAAATTATTTTGCAGTTCATTCTTTTGTGCAGTAGTCAGACCATTCAGGTTTTTAAATAAGAATATGCCAGTTCATTAGTTTTCATGGACTTATGTGTTTTACAGTTATCAGAGGAGGAAGAGAGAGGGGGAAATTGTGAAACCCCCCATCAGCAAGATGTCCAGAACAGAACAGAAGGGGAAACACTGAGGTAACAGACCAGAGAAACCAAAGGGAAATGAAAAGGGACACAACTCCCAGAGAACTACTGCTTCTTAGTGTGATGTAAATATTTCAAATGGAGCATTTTTCCACAAGTGTGCCTCACTATGCATCATGTTAGATACAATGTCTGACCTCTTACATGAAAGATAGTTAACTATAAACTATTGAAATAAAACTCCTGAATCTTACAGTTATTTGAAAATAATAGTGCAGCAAAATTGTTTTTTAAATTAAGATTTACTCATTTGTTTTGACTTGACTTACTTCATATTATTAGAGTGACGTAACATTAATAATCCCCCTTCATCAAGAATCTATGCTGAGTTGATCACTAAACAGGTATGTTGTGGATGAACAGTTACTTGTTGCGTTATAATGTGTCTTGATTTATCAATCAAAGGAAGGAAAGATGATGAAGACCTCTATCTGTTAAGTTCAAATGAAAAACCACAACATGAGAAGACATAATATTCAGTT